TGTGTGACGACTGCCGAGTTCAAATAAAGAATATTCATAAAACATCAAAGACAACTTCTCCACTTTGATTATCATTTATGCTTAAACGAAAAGTTGTATATAGATATATTACTTCGCGCAAATAGAGGTAATTTAGCAACTGTATCTGTTCTGAGTCCTGACCGTACACATTACTTCGCTATAGGACCGTATATGCAGACTTCGCTAGGCTATAGCACTAATCCAAGACAAGCTTCTTTCTGGTTATGTATACTACTGTCTTGTCCTTTACATTAAAAGGAAAAATAACTAATATACGTTTGATTTAATATATTTTTTAATATTTATTCTAATTTAATAATTAAAATATAATATAAATAGTGAGGGATGGTGAGGCCCTGGTGGGTATACACATTTCTTCTCGCATTTTACGTAAGAGTGTTCTGATGGTTCATTAAGGCTTCATTGAGCAGCTATTGACTATAGCTCTTTTATCTACTGTTAATCTAGTGGAGTAAGTAAGATGTAGTCAAGAGATGCTCAGTGTATGAAATGTTTCTCATGACCAATATAGTGATTAATAAAGATTTTGCATCAGAAGGCAGAAAGTTAGACACGGGTAAAGTACCGACACACTGGATCTGGTGTCGACACTATATCGCATACACCCAAATCTCCGACACGGACGTGGTGTTGGCACATATTTCAGGGGTCGACACCATGTGGAAGGGTTTGAAATTGTATGACTTTTAAATTGTCAGACTGATGGGTTGGGGTAACCCTTTTACTCCTTTTATTAATAAATAAAATAATATTTTTTATTGTTTTAAAAAAATAATATAATATAAATAATATTAATTCAGTTAATTTTTGTTTTTTAAGTTTTTTTACTTTTAAATTTAGGTAAAAAATAATAATTTTTTAATAAATATATTTTGTAATGTGTTAAATTAAAATATATATTAATTAATGTCTATATTAATAAATAAATAAATAGAATAAAATTTTATTACGTAATAGCATAGGGAGGTTTTTACACTTAACATTCTTTCAAAAAATTATTCTCTATCTCTACTCACTGTACGAATACATACAGATTATACACACCAGCTGAAAAAGTTAACCGAACAGAGTTAGGGCTACGGTAATAGCATCAAGAGATTGATTGCACTACCAAAAAATTCATATTTAGTGACTAAATTATTGATTATTAAATCTTTATTTTTCGTTACAAATTATTATTAGTGACAAAATTTAAATCATTAATAAAACCCTTGTCACTAATGCTCTTAATGACAAATTA